TGGAGGGCTCGGAGGAGCCGGTGTACGAGAGCCTGGAGGAATTCCACGTCTTCGTCCTCGCCCACGTCTTGAAGAGACCCATCGTGGTGGTGGCCGACACGATGCTGAGGGACTCGGGGGGAGAAGGGGGGGCGCACCCCCCTCTTTTCCCACTTTTCACGAATTTACACCAGCTCAGGCTGCAAATTTCCTCTTCACCACACATTTTCAAGGGGTAATTTTGCTCAAAGAAGCCAGATCTTGAATCTGAGAGCAGAGTTTGGGCTGCACAGAACTCCTGGAAAGGTGTGAGACACACAGCTCTGTGGATTTTAGCTGGTTTGAAGAGCATCACTGTGAAATTTGGGGTTGTTTTGGGTTTTTTTTCTACCCCTTTTTGCCCCCCCACGTGTGTGTGACGCTGGGAAATTCCCTTCCCTGTGGGTCGTATTTTCCACTCACAGCCCTAATTTCCTGCCAGATTCAGCAATTACCACCCTCCTTTGCGGAGGAGTAAAAAAAAAGGATGGGTTTTTTTGGGGGTTTTGTTTTGTTTGTTTTTTATTATTATTATAGAAAAGACAGGTTTGTTCCACGACACTGCTCCTCCTGGTGTGAAACAAGAGGTTCTATTTTGGGGTTGTGGTTTTCTTTTAGCGTCCCTCGAGCTGGTAGAAAATTGCAGGTCAAAACTTTGACCCGAGCAAACGGCGCGTTTTGGGGCGGTTTCAGCGCAAAATTGAATTCAAAAAAATTGAAAATTAACCACCCTCCCCCTTTTTCCTTTCCAGCCTTTGCCCCCATTCCCTTTGGAGGGATTTATCTTCCCCTGGAGGTCCCAGCCAACAAGTGCCATCGCTCTCCCTTGGTTCTGGCTTATGATCAAGCCCATTTCTCTGCCCTGGTATCCATGGAGCAGAAGGAACCCACAAAAGATCAAGGTGGGTGATAAAAAAGATCTAAATCTATATGATTTCAAGAGCAGACCCATTGAGGAGGGTTTTGGGGGTGTTGGGGGGCATGGAAAGCCTCCCATGGGGTGACACCATGGCTGCCCAGCAAGCCCCTCACCCCCCAGTAGGGCAATGGGGGGGGATTCTGCCCCTCTGGGGAGACCCCACCACCACCCAGTGGTGCCTCCAGCTCTGGGGCCACCACCAGCAGAAGGACATGGAGATGTTGGATGGGACCAGAGGAGGCCCCCGAGATGCTGGGAGGGCTGGAGCCCCTCTGCTGGGAGGGGGGGCTGAGAGAGTTGGGGGGGTTCAGCCTGGAGAAGAGAAGGCTCTGGGGAGACCTTGGAGCCCCTTCCAGTCCCTCAAGGGGCTCCAGGAAAGCTGGGGAGGGGGGACTCTTGGTGAGGGAGGGGAGCCATGGGTTTTGAGCTGAAAAATGGGAGATTGAGGTGAAATATTGGGAAGAACTTCTTCATTTTGAGGGTGGTGAGAGCCTGGCCCAGGTTGCCCAGAGAAGCTGTGGCTGCCCCATCCCTGGAGGGGTTCAAGGTCAAGTTGGAGGGGGCTTGGAGCAACCTGGGCTGGTGGGAGGTGGCCCTGCCCGGGGCAGGGGGGGTGGAATTGGATGGTCTTCAAGGTGCCCTCCCACCCAAACCATTCCATGAAGATCCCTTGATCCCAAGCATCGCCGTGACACTCGGTGTGGCACCAGTTGCCACCAGAGCTGATGTTCTTGGTGGGCCCTCGGGACTTGGCTGCCACCGTGTAAGATTTTGGGTCCTTTTGGGGCACTAAAAGTGTATTTTCTTCTCCCTCCTGCAGCTGTGATCCCCCTGACGGACTCGGAGCACAAGCTGCTCCCCGTGCACTTCGCCGTGGACCCCGGGAAGGAGTGGCAGTGGGGCAAGGATGACAATGACAACGTCAAGTTGGCCAGGTCGGTCACAACTTGGGGGGTTCCTCCCTCTGTCCCCAGCCAGGGCTTCCTCGTGTCCTGGTGAAAACTGGGCTGGGGGTGGGGACCTTTTTGATGGGGATGGAAGAGCTTTTTCCTCTTATTTTATCTCCTTTAATGCCCTGATTCTGCTACTTTTTTTGGCTTTGGGTGGTGACACCTCATGGGCGTCATTCCCAGAAGGTGAAGAGATGATTCCTCCAAATCCCAGAGCTTCAGACTGGGTGTGGCTCGGAAACGAGAAGCAAAAAGAGGACCAACTGTCATTTTCACACCCAAAAAAAGTGTATTTTTTGCATTCTCCTCTCCCTACTCAAAGCTACCGAGGTCTCCGAGCTCCTCCATCACCCTTTGGTGGCAACGGAGCCGGGAAACCTCCCAAATCCAAGGATTTAAATTCAGCAGAGGTTTTACTGATGCCCTATCCCAATTTGAGGAGTTTGGAGCCAGTAAAAAACAAAACTCCGTCCCTTTCATTTTTTTTAACTGGAAAGAATGAATTTTTTTAATATTTTGTTTGCCAAGTGGAAATTTTGGAGCCGTTTTTGGAGAAATCTTGGAGCGATTGATGGAGGAAAGAGGGGGGAGAATCGATGAGGGGAGAACCTGGGTTCCGGGTGGTAAACTGGACTCTTTGGGGTTTTTTGGGGGTGTTTTAATTTTTTTTTGGAGGGGGGTTTTTTAACCCTTTGTTTGAAACGGCAGCGTGACGTTGTCGCTGGAGGCCAAGCTGCACCTGCTGCACAGCTACATGAATGTCAAGTGGATCACCTTGCCTTGCGACACGCAGGTAAGAGACACCTCGGGGAGGGTTTATTTTCCTCTCATGAATTATTCAAACCCCCCCTTTCCATGAGACGCCACCATCTCTCCTTCCCCTGGGGGTCCTCTTGCCCTTCCCACCCCCAAAATTACCACTAATCCTGCTCCGAGCAGAGAAATTACTTTTTTTTTGTGTTTATTTTATTTTTCTGGAGTTTTTCCTGCCTCTTTTTGCCCCTCAAACCCCACGTGGGGGTGGGGGGGGCGCTGGAAGGGGAAAAAATGACACCGGTTGCTCCAAGACAAACACAAACTCTTGGTTTTCAGCCACTTTTTGGGACTTTCCACTTTTCCAGGGACCTTTCCTTGGTGGAAAACTCCCCTCCGTGTCCCAAATTCCCTCCTCGACAGCAGAAAGAGGGGTTGGTTGGTTGGTTGTTTTTTTTCCCCCCGCCTTCCCTTTTTGGGGAAAACTCCCCAAATTGAAAGGATGAGCTGTTCTGCTCTGTCTGAAACCTCTGGAGGTGCCACCTTCACCGCAAAGCCCCGGCGGTGACCTTCTGGTTGTCACCTCCTCATGGGGCCACCTCCAGTGTCACCATCTCCACCTTCACCCGGGGGTGACCAAAGGGGCAATTTATGGCAATTTATAAGAATTTATGGGAATTTATTACCCCTTTTTTTTAATCTTCACCTTTTCCCTTGAGACTCCAAGGAGTTAAGACATTTTTGGACCCGTAGGACGTGCCACCAAGTGCGTTTGAGGGTTGTCCCCTCCCTTCTTCTTGCTTTGCTTCACCCTCAGCTTGAAAATTCTTCTCCCAGGAGCTCAGAGAACTTTGATATGGATTTTTTAATTATTTTTTTTATTTTATTTTATTTTTTCCCCCTCTTTCCAGGCGCCTTTGGCCCAACCAGAATCTCCCACAGCTTCCGCCGGCGACGACGCTCGTTCGGCGGCGGAATCGGGCGAATCGGACAAGGAATCAGTCTGCAGCAGCTCGACCAGCAACGGGGGGAGCAGGACCTGCAAAGAGCGAGAAAAACCCAAAAAAGACCGGGAGAAAGAGAAAGAAAAAGAGAAAAAACGAGCGGATTCGGTGGCCAACAAACTTGGCAGCTTCGGCAAGACCTTGGGGAGCAAACTCAAGAAGAACATGGGGGGGTTGATGCACGGCAAAGGGGGCAAAGGTGGGGTGACCAACGGGCAAGGGGACACCTTGGAGAAGAAGAAGAAAAGTTCGTTGAAATCGAGGAAAAGCAGCAAAGAGGAAACATCTCCCGGTGATGTGGGGGTTGTGGAAAAAAGCTCCGGGGGGAAAACGATGGAAAAAAGCTCAGATTCTTGGAAATACGGCAACGACGTCCGGTTGAGTTTGAACATCCTACGGGCGGCCATGCAAGGAGAGCGGAAGTTCATCTTCGCTGGCCACCTCAAAACCAGTACGAGGCACCAGTACCAGGAGGAGATGATCCAGAGGTACCTCCTGGACGCCGAGGAACGGTTTTTGGCCGAGCAAAAACAAAAAGAAATGGAAAAAAAAGCTTCGGGGAACGTCGCCATCGCCCCCCCTTTGGCCAAGAAGGAAGCGGAAGGGAAGCGGGAGGAGGAGGTGATGCTCAACCCCCAACCTCCCC